TTTCTTTGAACACACTGGACTTGCTCCCACCTATGAGTTTTTGCAGTCGTTATTCTGTTAGCCCAGAGTGCTGTTTTCCAGATCTGACCAAGCCTAACTCCTCATCATTCAGATCTCAGTTCAAAGATCACCTTCTTAGAGAGCTGCTCCTTCTCTGTTCAGTCTAAAATAGCCACCCATCAGTATCCTGTCCCATTATCCTGTTTTGTTTTCTTCATGTGCTTATTGCCCTCTGAAGTGTTCTTGTTTGTTTATTGTCTGTCTTCCGCATGAAAATGTAAACTTCTTTTTTGTTTTTTGATTTTTTTAACTGAAACATAATTGATTATATATATGTGAGTACAGAAAAAATGTAAACTTCTTAAGAGTACAGACTTTTTGTCCACCACTGTATCCCTGGCATGTGGAGCAGTGCTTGGCACATCGTAGACACTCAATAAATATTTGTTAAAGAAATTAAGGGCATCGACTGCCTCTTATTTTATAACTTAGATACATTAATGTCTTTTAAAAATCTCAGTTTCTTTATTCTATTTTACATGAGACCTACCTGTCATTAGGATAGTTTTCTTTTCAGAGTTGGTAATACCTAGGCTGACTCTGAGATGTCCAACTCCAAAGGACAGTTGGGAGAAGTGTTAAGAGCTACACAAGACAGTTTGTGGTCTAGTGGGTCCTCTGGGCCCCAAATCTCTCCATCTTGACAATAATTTATGAGGTCTATGGATTGGATGGGCCAATCCAGTAGGAGACTGGGCTTCCTTACCTTTGATGTCTTGGTTGGCTGTCCTCTCTCTGGGCCTCTGAGTTCCAGGTGGGAGAGAGAAGAGTTCTGGCTTTGAAGACTTCAGTCCATAGCCAAAGCCAGAGTTAACCATCTTGAGATCCTGGGTCATTCCCTGGAATACTGTGATGAGAGAGGCTCTGATAAAGCCCCCTATCTCAAAATAACTCCCCCATCATTTGCCACAGTGGCTGGAATTTCACATTATCAACTACTTCCTGGATGGGGTTGCTAGATAAAATATTTTGATTTGCTAAATCTGGCAACCCTATTCCTGGTTATAGTTGCTATCTGGAAAAATGATTGAAGAAATGTAGTATGTTTTCCAGACAGCATTAGGGTCCATTTGAGGTTAGTGGTCATGCATTTGAAGTCAGATCAGTCAGCATGGTTCTGGGTTTTTCTACAGCCACTGCTTAGCTGGGTGAGTGCAGGTACAGAGCTGATGAAGAAGTAGATTTAACCAGGGTTGTGGTTTAGTCAAACAAGGATGCTGAAGCTAGAGGGAGACAAGAGGGTTGTGGGGTATGTGAGGGGGTGACCCCAGCTAGCCATGGAATTGAAGGTTGGGAGGAAGGAGGTAAAGACATAGGAGGTGGATGCAGAGCAGTAAATACTGTGGCATGTGGAGAGAGAAGAAGCAGAGCCTGAGTCCCAGACGACTCTTAATTCCACCGCTAATTAACCCCCATGTGATCTTGGGCAGAGACTTCAATTTTCTTTTCTTCATTATGAAATGGGAGGCCCCACCTTGTCTACCTCAGGAAGAGGTTGAGGGACTCAAAGGAGATAAGGGACAAAACTGCCTTAAGAACTATAAAGCAGGATATAAATGCTAGAGATGAACATTTTTATTCTCAAATTTTGTCTAAGGTCATAGGGAGACTCCTTCTGTGGATAAGTAAGGCCAGGCTGGAGTGGCAGTGACTCGCCATGGACTGGCTTTGCCCGTGGAGAACAACAGCAATTCCAGACCAAGCACTTAAAGTTTGCATTGTTTGATCCTTACAGCACCGCCTCTCCCCATTCTACAGATGAGAAGACTGAGGCAAAAGAAGTTAAGTGCTAGTAGTTATTAGAGATGGTGTTAAAACCAAGCTCTACTTCCCTATGTTCTATGATATTCTGAGTTTCCACCCAGAATGCCCTGAGGCTTGATTTCTTGCCCGAGAACTCATTATTTCTGGATGACTGCAGATATCTTCTTAGTCTCACCCACACTGCACCTCCAGCCCTCACCAACCCCGGGGGGTGAGGGCACTGCTGGAGCTCAGGGGTCTGGATTTCTAAATCCTCTCCCACCTCTGTGGTCCAGGCCAACAAGACAAGGGATTGTGTGACTGAGCAACAGACACCATGCACCCGAGGGCCTGTGTGAGGTTCCTAGCCCTGGTCCCTCCTCTGCCCACCTCACCTGGCTCCCTGGTTTGGGCCCAGGCCCAGTGCTTGCCTGCTACTCTGTAACCAAGTCACAGGCCTGCCCTCCTGGAACTGTTTCTTTTAAAAAAAAAAAGATGACCGGTAAGGGGATCTTAACCCTTGACTTGGTGTTGTCAGCACCAGGCTGTATGGGATCTGAACCTGTGGCCTTGGTGTTATCAGCACCACACTCTCCCGAGTGAGCCACAGGTCGGCCCCTCCTAGAGCTGTTTCTAACAACATTCCCCTGCTGAGAGCCGACCAGAGAGCATAAGGAGGCTGGCGGCTGTGGGGCTCTCACAGCTCCATCCCTGCCTCCTACTGAGCAGCAGACAGACAGATGACCCCAGCCAGCTCCCACCAGGCTGCATAGTGAGCAGGGACAGGGTGCTGAGCATGCACGTGAAGGTCCCAGGGGGCCCAAGATGGCTGGTGTGAGGGAAACTTGGTAGTCTAGGTTTCCAAGCATACCAGCACACTTACGGGGCTACAGTGTGTGGTGAGGTGGGGTGGGGAGATAGAAAGAGACTTCCAGACGTGAAGACAGCCCCATAAGTGTGCTGGTATGCTTAGAGTGGGGGGTGGGGGGGTGGAGAAAGGATGATGGTAAACAGGGATTGGCTTGAGCCTAGGCTTGGGAGCGGGGCTCCTGAGATGCTCTGAATTTAGGGGTGCGGAGTGTGGGTAAGCAGGACTTGAGCAGAAATGGAGGCACTTTCCCATACCAGCTGAATCTCCAAACCCTGTCACAGAGTCAGTACTGGGCTCCAATTTCACCTCCCAGCTGTGGGGACACATCCTTCACAGAAGCTGCTGTCCTCTGGTTTCTCCCTTAGTCCTGCCCATCAGCTGCACCTTTGTCTGATGCCTCACTTCAGTTACTGTTCAGTGCAGAGATGGGGGAAGAGGAGGAGGAGGAGAAAAGTGGTGCTCCCATCTATCAAGAGCTGGCCATGCCAGGCTCATTTGATATCTCTTCCCACTAGGCAGGATAGAGGAGAGGTTAAGAGCATGGCTGGAACCAGGCCGTCCCTGCTCTGAATATTCCTGTTTTTTTTTTTCTAGCATGAGTTTATGTCTCATGCAAAATTTGGGATATACTTATAGCAAAATTGAATATTCCTGGGCCGGCCCGTGGCTCACTCGGGAGAGTGCGGTGCTGATAACACCAAGGCCACAGGTTTGGATCCTATATAGGGATGGCCGGTTCTCTCACTGGCTGAGTGTGGTGCTGACAACACCAAGTCAAGGGTTAAGATCCCCTTACCAGTCATCTTTTAAGAAAAAAAGAAAAAAAATATTCCTGCTGTTGCTCATGACCTTGAGCAAGTTGCTTAACCTCTCTGGGGGTCAGTTTCTTCATCTGTAAAATGGGGTAATAAAAGTCCCTACTTAAGCGCACTGTTATGAAGATTAAATGAGATAACGTATGTGAAGTGCATGGCATAGGGCCTGCCATCTGATTAGTGCTCAGTAAATGGGAACTAAACAGCATAACAACAAAGCCTGCTGGGCATGAGATTACACTATTTTTACAGTCAAGAAAAAGGAGCAAGGGAAACCGAGGTGAAGTAACTTCTCAGGTCACAGAGGGGTCTGTGTGACTCCAGAGGCTGAATTCTTTGCCTCAAACCTGCTGCCCCACAGTATGGGGCATCATTCCCTGAGAGGTCAGAGACACCACGTGTAGGCTGGCAGTGCCAGGGGCCAGGACATTGTCTGGCATCATGGACAGAGCCTGGGCGGGCTCAGAGGCACAGCAGCCCGTGGTGGCTTGCTGACTGCAAGCCAAGTCAGCCTTTCCTCCTGGACCTGGGGATTTCTCAAGTCCTTGTGTCCCTAAATCCCTCCCAGCTCAAATCATTACCTTCTCACACTATGACACCAGGGATTAGGGGGTGGGAAACTGTAGGGGACCTAATATGTGTGGTGCACCCTAGTACGTGTCAGGCAATGGGCCAGGCACTCGGCATTCATTCTTTCATCTGATCCTCACAGTCATTGCAGGAGGGGGCTCTTATTATCATCCCCATTTCACATGGAGGACACCATCACAAAGGTTAAGACTCTTGCTCAAGAAAGTAGAGATGTAATGAGACTGGGATACATATTTCTGGATTAATATCAGTCATCTAAAAATCATAAGAAGTCAAGGCCCTTGTGTCATATTCAAAAAGTTGGTGAAATGTTAAATTTATGGAGAAAGCACCCCATTAAAAAATTATGAAATATTTCAGACATGCCAAAAGGTATAAAGAATAACATAATTAAAACCAGCTACCAACCTTGAGAAACAGAATGCCTGTTCAATTTCATCCACCTCCCTCCCCTGAGAGAGAGAGACATTATTCCAAATTTGGTGTTAATGTTTTCCCTCGCTTCCCTCACCAATGTCTCTTAACTTCTTTCCGAACACAGATGGGTTGACTATCATGCCCGCCAGACTTATTTGATCCTCTCAATGTTTGTTGTTGAGACGCTTAGTCACTGAGCAAGACTCTATAATCTTAGAACCGTCCATAAATTCTGCTTCCCCCTGAGGGTTTTGGCCCAGTCCCTAGAGCCTATGCCTGTTGGTCCTCAGTGCCACCAGTAAATGCTTAGACACAGGAGGGAGGGCAAGGAGAGCAGAGTCCCAGAAACTTGGTCCTCGGGCAAAGAACCTTGGCCCTCTTCCACTCAAGGAAGGCAGACAGGAACGGTGTCCAGGCATGATACACTTCTCTCTGCTAAGGCTGTTCTTTGCCCTTTGCCTGCTCAGCATGGGTGCATCTCAGTCCACTTGGGGCAGGCTGGCATGCAGACTGGCAATGCCTGCTGGGAGCTCTACTGCTTGGAACATGGGATCCAACCAGATGTGCAGGTGCCCAGCAATAAGACGATTGGGAGAGGGGACGACTCCTTCCACACCTTCTTTAGTGAAACAGGGGCTGGAAAGCATGTGCTCTGTGGGGGCAATATATTTGTGGATCTAGAGCCCACTGTGATCAGTGAGTGATGATCAGTCTCTGCTGTGGCCTTGTCCCCAGATACCACAGCAAGTCCTACTCCATAACTGGAGAACACTGGAGTTTGTGGTCATAGTCTCCTAGTTACTGCAGACAGTTAAACACCAGATCTATAGAGTCACTGTCACTCAGTTCTTGAGTCCGAAGGCCATCCCACATTTTTTTCCTTGTCATTGAAAAACACATCCAGGCAGGGGAACCACAGCAGTCTGAATGCAGCTCCTCTAGGGTAGAACCTGGGACTAGTGACCCCACTACCTTTGGGAACCTTGGGGCTCTGGGAGCCAGACTGCAAAGGGAGGTGGAGCCCAAAGCTCTGCCCATTGTAGATGAATTTTGAACAGGCACATAGTGCCAGCTCTTTCAACCTGAACAGCTCATCACAGGCAGGGAAGAGGCTGCCAATAACTATGCCTGAGGCCACTACACCATTGGAAAGGAGCTCATCGACCTGGTGCTGGACCGGATTCAGGAGCTGGTGAGGGAAGGGCTGAGAGTTGGGATAGGGGAATCTGGATTCATGTGAAGTGGTCCAAAGACCAGATTAGGAAAGGGCAGCTTCAGCCCCAGGAGAGAGCATCCTGAACAAGTCTTAAACACACATGATCAGGACTAGTGAGGAGGGGCCCTGCACTCTGATTAGGGGAGGTTGACAATAGGCTCTAGCCTGGAGCTGGATGTTCTCTTATCTCCTGTAGTGACTGGCCCAATACTAGGAAGTGGCCACTAGTGCCAACATGTCAATGAGCTGCCTGGCCAAGTTATGGAGATTTAATGCATCCCCAGAATATCACCTTGTATTGCAGGGATCTGGGCAGAAGGCTCTGTGAAAAACAGGGATCCAAATAATGCCAGCCCAAGGCTTTGCGATTGATTTTGGCTTCTACCAAGGATGGGGATCAGGGTCCCGTATTGTTGATCTCAGTAGAGAAGCCTTCCAGAAACATTTGAAGTTAAATTAGGAGAGAATGAGTATGAGGCTGGGGGTGTTGGCAGGTGACAAATATGACTATATGTCACAAGATTTGAGACAGTGTGTATTAAAGACATCAGGAGATTTTAGAGAGGAAAGTGTCAGGGAGGACAGAGAGTGGGCCTCCCCAGGAGGATCTCTTTTATGTTCTTGGAAAAGTCTCCCAAAGATTTTGTGAAAAATTTGAGGAAACTGACATAGCACAAGCTGGTTCTTTCCTGTTCGTCAGCTGTGTTTCACATCCCACCTTTCTCTCCCCCTTTACCTTCTAGTCTGACCAGTGCACAGGACTTCAAGGTTTCCTGGTGTTCCACAGCTTTGGAGGGGGCACGGGCTCTGGCTTCACCTCGCTCCTGATGGAGCGGCTCTCTGTTGACTATGGCAAGAAATCCAAGCTGGAGTTCTCCATCTACCCAGCTCCCCAAGTGTCCACAGCCGTGGTTGAACCCTACAACTCCATCCTGACCACCCACACCACCCTGGAGCACTCAGACTGTGCCTTCATGGTGGACAACGAGGCCATCTATGACATCTGCCGCCGCAACCTGGACATCGAGCGCCCAACCTACACCAACCTCAACCGCCTCATCAGCCAAATCGTCTCCTCCATCACAGCTTCTCTGCGCTTCGACGGGGCCCTCAATGTGGACTTGACAGAGTTCCAGACCAACCTGGTGCCCTACCCTCGCATCCACTTCCCCCTGGCCACCTACGCACCAGTCATCTCTGCAGAGAAGGCCTACCATGAGCAGCTGTCGGTGGCAGAGATCACCAATGCCTGCTTCGAGCCTGCCAACCAGATGGTGAAGTGTGATCCCCGGCATGGCAAGTACATGGCCTGCTGCTTGCTGTACCGCGGAGATGTGGTGCCCAAGGATGTCAACGCCGCCATTGCCGCCATCAAGACCAAGCGCAGCATCCAGTTTGTGGACTGGTGCCCCACAGGCTTCAAGGTTGGTATCAACTACCAGCCGCCCACTGTGGTGCCTGGAGGTGACCTGGCCAAGGTGCAGCGTGCCGTGTGCATGCTGAGCAACACGACCGCCATCGCCGAGGCCTGGGCCCGCCTGGACCACAAGTTTGACCTGATGTATGCCAAGAGGGCGTTTGTACACTGGTATGTGGGCGAGGGCATGGAGGAGGGTGAGTTCTCTGAGGCCCGGGAGGATATGGCTGCCCTGGAGAAGGATTACGAGGTGGGCATGGACAGCGTGGAGAGGAAGGGAGAGGAGAATGAGGGAGAGGAATACTAAGGGAATCTGGTGTGTCTGTCCTAAGTAAGTGCTGGGGTCTTATTGTCTCACTAGTGTCTTTTTCTCTTGGTAAAAACCATGGGGGGAGGGCTTCTCCTCCATGAGTGATAGTAAGGCTGGTGTCTCAGCCTGAGTCCCCAGAAAGCAGATCTGATATTAGATTTTATTAAGAAGTTCAATTCCAGGGAGCAGAGTGGGGACCAAGGGGAGTAAAGCAAGGAAGGGGGGAGAATTCACCTAGAGAAGAGAAGATGCAGCTGAATAAATGATGGTCTCAAAAACATCCTTGGGTGCACGGATAGGTGAGGGTGTGAGGGTGTGCACCGGCTTTATTCTTCTGTTGGTTAGACCTCGCCCCACCAAGTATCAACTCCCCTGCACTTCTGAGTTGCACACACTTGGGCTGTAGAGTCAGTAGGAAACCCTGGGGGAAGAAGTGCTGTTAAATTGCACATATATGAAGGTGGTGGGAGTCCACACAGAGCTACAAGAGCCTCGTGAGGCCAGGAGGATCCCACATGATGCCTTAGGGTAATCTGATAGAGCTGGTGCTCACTAGCCCCCTACAATCTGGAGCAGTGTCTTCTCCAGGCAGGAGGTTGGGGTATGGAGAGTCCAGAAACTGGCGCTGAGGCAGAACAGTAGCATGGTGGCAGCAACGAGTGGGGAATGGCGGTGGGGGGAGGTAATCTCCATCAACATTTGCCACTTTTTTTTTCTTTGGGTGGTTGGCCAGTATGAGGATTGAACCCTGGACCTCAGTGTTATTGGCACCACGCTACCAACTGAGCCCAATACTCACCACTTTTTCATAAAGACCGTTGACATTTTTTCAATCCTATGCCATGCGTTATGCCAGCAAAGCTTCAAGACCCCACTTCCAAACTGATGGCGGCCCTTAAGTCCTTTCATGTGGACTTTTGCTAGCATCTGCTGGGCTGGAGAGATGGTTTAACCACTGGAGATGATGGAACGAGGGCAGTCCCCACCCCAGCCCAACCCGGGAGAGATTTGATTCTCAGTGTTGCCCTCAGACTGTCCTTCCTGCAGTCTCCTTTTCCTAGACTTGGTGTAAGTTCCCAAGATTGGATGCTAGGAGGCCAGGCCATGGCTCACTTGGGAGAGAGTGGTGCTGACAACACCAAGTCAAGGGTTAAGATCCCCTTACCAGTCATCTTTTAGAAAAAAAAAAAAAAAGATTGGATGCTAGGAAGGCCATCCAAAAGTTAGCAACACCAGGAAGCTACTGTCACCCCTAGGGTGGAGGAACCAAGGGCTGAGATGTGATACCAGAGCCTTAGAGCTGGAACCACCAGGTGGGAACTGGACTACAGCAGGGCTACCAGAGGAAGCAGGAGTCATGGAGGGAGGGACATTTGGCAGGATTCAGAGCCATGGAGGAGACACAACCACCACCTGAGAGGCCATGTGATTTAGAGAGAGAGGGAGAAATACCCTAGCTCACCCTTCCTCCCACCCTCAATCTCCAGCCAGTGGTTCCCATCAGCTGAGCCTACACAGAAGCTAGATGGCAAGGGGGACCCAGGAAGAAGGGTGTGCAGCCCTGTGAGATACAGAGCAGAGTGGGGAAAGTAGGGGAGGATCTCAGAGAAAACAGGCAAATCATTGCACATATCCCCACTAGGCCTGGCATTAGGGTGCCACGCAGGGCCTGTGCTGGGTAAAAAAGGAAATGGACTGACAGTTTCCCTTTCTCATTGGGTCCCCATAGCTTGTCCCTGTCACTCTTTTTGTTTGTTTGTTTGGCAGCTGGCCTGTAAGGGGATCTGAACCTTTGACCCCTTGACATTGATGTTGTCAGCACCACACTCTAACCAGGTGAGCTAACTTGCCAGCCTCCTGTCACTCTTGTCTCAGTAATCACTTGTAGTAAGTAGACGACCGAGTGGAAGCAACAGGTCGGTGGGGGGAGGGGAAAAGTGTGCATGCCCAGCTCAGCAGTTTCCTCTCTCTCTTTGGGAATTATTTACCCAGAGAGCAAGTATTCTCAATGCCTCTGCAGCCGCCCACTGTGGTGCCTGGAGGTGACTTGGCCAAGGTGCAGTGTGCCGTGTGCATCCTGAGCTTTGAGGATTTAAGCTTACAGGGGAGGCTCTGTCCTTGAAGAGAGAGGCCTGCAGTCATGTGCACGTATGTGTGTGTGTGGGGAGTGACTTAGTTCAGAGTGGGTATTTAGAAGCCTATTTGGCTGAATAGCTCAGCTATATCCTCCAATCCATTTTTTTCTTTCTTTAAAAGGGCTGACTTTTAAATCTCCATCTGTCTGATTCCTGTGTCTTTCTCTCCCACAACTGGTTTCAAACTTGGGAAGGCAAGAGGGGTTATTCTGGGAGCCCTTCAAATCCCTAGAAATAGCTGTGATTTATTGAGCACCTACTATGTGCTATGCCTGTTTAGTGCTGCAGTAAGTGCAGTTACTATACCTCCTGGAACGGAAGCTCCATGGGAACAAGGCCTTGGCCTGTTTTTCACTGTCCTACTCTCAGCACCCTGAACATTGCCTGATGTATTAGATGCTCAATATTTGTTGAATGAACTGGTTAAATGAATGCCTATTTTATAGATGTGGAGACTGAAGCTCAGAGAAGTTATGTGACATGCCCAAGGTTATCCAGCTAGTAAATGGAGGAGTGGGATTCAAACCCAGGTCAGCCTGGCCAAAGCTTATTCTGCTGCCTCCACTTTCCTCAGGGGCCCTCACCTCCTGCCAACAGTAGTTCCAGGCACCCCTCCAGACGCCACCTCTTCTGGTCCTGCCAGGTCCCCAGTGCCCAGACAGTGACTCAGTCACCTTGGGGGCAGGGAGGAGGTGACGCTTGACACTCCCCTGTCCAGGCTCTGGGGTGGAGGGCATCGAGACAGGGGGGCAGGGGGCAGGGGCCCAGCCTCTGGGCCTGAACTGGGGCAGAGGCTTCCTTGGGGCCAGGTTTGGGGCTGGCAGTGTCCTTTGGAAAGCATCCCCTGACATCTCATAGGAGGTGGGGTGAGGGCCTGGGAAAGGCCAGGAGGGAGGGCTGAGAGGAATGTGGGATCTTTACCCACTGGGATGGCTGGGCATCCAGAGAGGCAACCAGTCTCCCCTCCCATTTGCTATACCAGCCAGCTCACCGTGAGCAGCTTTGTGGCCATTTCCTCCTCTCAAGACCCTGCAAGGTCCCCCAGCTGCCCTGCTGGCAGGCACTGGCAGGCCTAGGTTCGATTGCATGTGGGTGTGGGGAGGTGGCGACCCAAACCTCCTGGGGCAGTTGGGAGCACCACCCAGCCTGGCTCCTGGGGACTCCCTCAGTGCAGGGGAAAGCTTTCATCCCTGATGCTTCTAAAGCCAGGGTACAATTACCTCTTGCAGGCAGACACAAAGGACAGGTTCCCAGCCTTGGATTTCACACAACAAATTTATTTCGTAGCCTCTGATGTGTCAGGAACATGCCTGCCTCCAAGTCTGTGTTCTCACCATTCTCTCCTTCTGGAACACCACCTCCCCCTGCTTGTCTCCGTGTTGCCATTCCTTTCAGCTTAGGTCACAGCCATCTAAGACCCATCCAGCCCCGGGTAGCTTTCCGTCCTCTAGCCTCTCCTGCTACCTACCATCTGTCTCTGTCACTGGTTTGGCACTTGGCATGGGCTGCCTTGTACAGTGGCACTTGGCTTCTTGTTGATGTTCTATTTCTCCAACTAGATTTTTAAAATGTATGTATGTATTTGAGCAGTTATTATGTCAACATGGTTCAGAATTTAAAAGATACAAAAGAAATTTACAAACAGCGAAAATAAATCTCCTTCATCTTGTTCCCCTCCTGGTAGCCGCCACTGTTAACTTTTTTGTTAGTGTTTCCTTCTGGAGACATCTACATATATACTAATGTGAGTATGTACATTTAATATACACTTTGTTCTACATCTTGTTTTTTCATTTAATAAATCTAGAAGATGGTTCAATGTATATAGCTATGCCTCGTTTTCTTTTTTTCTGGTGACAATGTAATATTCTTTCATATAATATGTCATGGCTTATTTAACCAGTCTGCTATTAAAAGGGGTTTAGGTTGTTTCTAATCTTCTGCTATTAAAAGGAATGTCACGACCTTCATACATACCTCTTAGCACATATGTACATGTACAATCATAAATTCTTAGAATTGGGGGCTGGCTGGTTAGCTCAGTTGGTTAGAGTGTGGTGCTGATAACACCAAGGTCTAGGGTTCAATGCCTGTACCACACACACACACACACACACACACACACACAATCTTGGAATTGCTAGGTCAAAGGCTATGTAATTTTGATGTACCTCATATTGCTCTCTTTAGAAGTTATACCTAATTATACCCTCCCACCAATGTTTGAGAATGCCTCTGCCCACAGCCTTGCCCATACAATGTATTAAACTTTTTGATGTCTGTCAAGAAGTGAAACAAAGTATTTTGTGGCAGCTTTTGTTTGTAATTCTCTAGTGAATGAGATAGAACATCTTTTCATGTTTAAAAGCCAGTATTTCCTCTTCTGTTGGCTGTCTGTGCTCGTTGCCCATTTAAAAAATTGCATTGTTCATCTTTTAGTATTAATTTGTTGGATTTCTTTGTGAACAAAAAAAATTAACCCTCTGTCTGCTAGACGTGTTCTATATAATTTCTCTCAGTTGTAATTTGACTACAACCCAACTAGATTTTCATCTTCTTGAGCATAGGACCTGGAATTTAAACCTCTGTATTCTTATTATTAATATAATGCCACATACATGTAGGTGCTAGACAAATGTCTGTTGACACAAGAGGAGTAAGAAGAAAAATGCAGAGATTTGGAAGATTTTGGAGTGACCTAACCTACTTCTTCCTCTTATGCCAAGTCCAAGCCCTTAGTCTTCAGGTCAGTCAGGACTCTTGTTGTAAAGAGCAGAAGGTAACTCTGGCAATTTTTAAAAAGCAGGCCGCACTCCCCTTCCCGCCCACACACAGGAAAATTAGCAAGATATCCGGTAGTGTGCAGAAGAATCAATGCAAGGCCGGCAAGCAAGGCTCAGCAAACAGGCAGGCACTAATGGAAGCTGCGCAGCCATAGTCAAGGTCAGGACACAGGACAGCATGTGTAGGAGACCCCTGTCCCCCTCCGCTCACTGCAGTGACCCCACCTCGGCCAGGCACTGGGGCTGACATTTCCTTTCCAGACACTAGAGGCCGCTGCAGGCTCCATCGCCACCATCAGCGCAAAAATTAATTTTCAACCACCCCTGCTTCTCTAACTTGCTCCAGATACAAAGTCCCAGCTTATGGCTTTTGCTTTTACTCTTAGAGCCGAGAAGCCTGGGAGAGCAAGCGTTGGGGCTTTGGGGCAGATGGCGGCCTGTGTCTATTAGGAACAATGCAATGGGAATTCCCTAAATGTAAGTGGAAATTCCCTGAATGTAGGCAGGAGGTTCAGATGGTGGGCAGCCAGGACAACTGGATAAATGAACACCATTTTCTTCTCTCATGTCCAGCTCAAGCCCTTCTCTTTGGTGAAGCATTCCTGGGTCACCCTGCCTGGACTCACATAATCATTTCTGCTTGGGCAAATCACGATGCCAGCGAGGACTGTACTATTAACCCTATGTACCAATCTTTTTTTTTTTTTTTGTCTTTTTGTCTTTTTTCGTGACCGGCAACGGATCGCAACCCTCGGTGGTGCCCCCGCTCCTCACTCAGCCAGTGAGCGGCCGGTCTGCATGTGGGATCCGAACCCTCGGCGGGAGCGCCACCGCACTCCCAAGCGGCGCACTGTAGCAGTGTGCCACCGGGCCGGCCATTATGTACCAATCTTAATTTGGCTTTCAGACGACCCTAGGCACTACCTACATTTAGGGAGAAAAAGTGAGTCTTCAGAGGTTTTCCCAAATCTCACAGCAGTGCCAGGTTGCAAACCCAGGTCTGCGTGTTTCCAAAGCCTTGGGGTTTCCCAGTGGGCTATGTAGATGGGCTGGTATTTTATCAAGTTTGAGTTCTGTGAAGGCAGGGGTTGGGCCACACTCTTCTTTGTACATCCTGGTAGCATCTAGTAAGTAAAAGATGCTCAATTAATGCTGGCGGATTAGCCTGGCTGGTATCAAGCAGGAGCCAATTCTGGAAAGTTCCCTAACTTTCTCATGAGGCCTGAAACTGGAAATCGTTTCTGAGGTGGAACAGACCCACTCAGGATCAATTTGGGAAGAAAAACCCCAAGTCTGGAGATTTCCTTTTTACTGTTCCCTTTAGCCTCGCCTCCCCCAAATGTGTCAAAACTGTCAACAAGAGATTTGCATCTGTTCATTATTTAATCATTCAACAGATATTTTGAACCCCAACTATTCTAATAAATACACTGAGAAAAAGACCCAATTCCTGCTCCATGGAATTTACATTCTAGTGGGAGAGGTGAACAGTAATCAAATAATCAAGCCAGTCAATGCTCATTTGTGCCTCTGATAAGCGTGAGGAAGGAAATGCCATGAGATGCTGTAAAAGGCAGGTCCGACCTACTGCGGGAAGTCAGGGCAGCCTCTTTTGAGGACCTGGGTTTGGAGCAGGGACCTAAAGAAGGGAAAGAGTTAAGTCCAGAGGGGATCTATGAGTCCTCGAGGTGGCGATGGTCTCCAGGGTGAGTAATCACGGATCAGCGAGCATGTTTATAAGAAAGCGACAGAGGGACCAGGGGCCGGCGGCTTGTTGGCTGACCCCTTCTGTGTGTGCGCGAATGCGTCACGCCTGGAGGGATGGTGCGGGCCGCGGGCTCCCAAGTCCCATCTGGGGATGACGTCGTACTGGTGCGATCCCGAAATAGACGGCTCCGCCCCCATATCCCGGCAGCCCCTGCAGCCACCCCCATCCCCCGTCCCCGCCCGGGGTGACAGGCCGAGCCGGCCTTCTGCCGGTCTCCAGTAGTTTCCGAGCCGCGGACGCGCGCGCACAGCCAGGCCGACGGCTCCTGCGGGGGCAGGGGCGGGGCGCGCACGAGGCCCGGACGCCCGGCGGAGGAGGTGCGGCGGGGG